AAATAAGGCTAAGGTGGATGATAAAACAATTAAGGTATAAGAATATTTAAATATCCTTTTGCATCATGATTTTTAACATGATAATCATGTTTATTTTTTGGATTATGCTAGGTTTTGAATGTTTAATCTCCTTATACATGTGTTAGCTATTAATTTGATTTGTTTATGTTCTTTGAATATATTTTATGTTTTTTAATTGTTATTTGCATTTAGAAAGTTTTTACTAATAGTAATAATAATTTTATGTTGAAAAGATAGTTAATTATTTAAAGAATTTTAATTAAATTTTTTAGGAATTATGAAAACAAGCTTGCTCCGAAATCTACCTAGATGTTAGTGACTTTTAGAGAGGTTCGTAAAATCTTAAAATTCAAACCCGAACTTACCTAAAAACTCAAACTCTTTTAAATTTATAAGGATTTGCATGAAAACATTTTATGAAGTAATCTATTTTCGAACGTCGCTCAAACGTTGGGGTATTTAGAAAATTTTATTTCATTAAAAATTTTCATACATTTCCATGGCTTAAAAATAAATTTGTTTTGCTAAAATCTTGATTATAAAAATACAATAATACTAATAATTGGATGAGATTTTTAAATATAGAAATTCACACCTAAACTCTACCTATATGTTGAAGAGTTCAGGTGCTTTCTTTATATTTAAAATTTCGGTTCTTAAATTCTCACTTAATCATTATTTTTGCATATGTTTCGTTTTAAGTTAATGTTTTCATTCATAATGCACACATATATGTTTGTTTAGTTATGATTGTTTAATATTAATTATATTATTGTATTTTCGTTTTTTACCACATAAAAATCTTCTTAAAATTTTAAATTTTATTGATTTGCATGAAAATTTTTTATGAAATAATTTCACGAATGTCGCCTAAATGTTGGGATATTCAGAAAATTTTATTTCGTTGAGAATTTTCATATATTTTTGCTATTCAAAATAAATTTGTTAAATTAATAAAAGATAATCGGATGGGATTTTAAATTTAAAATTTCGCATCCAAATTCTGCTTAGATGTTGGAGAGTTCAGGTGATTTTTTAATATTTGAAAACCTATTCCAAAATTTACTTAATCATTATTTTGCATATGTTTTATTCTTAAATTAATGTTTTCATTTATAATGCATATATATATATTTGTTCTAGTAATGGATGTTTAACATTAATTATATTATATTTAGGTTTTTTTTTTTCACATCAGAATTTTTCTTAAAATTTTAGTTTTGAGCAAATAAAATTAAAAAAAATATTCTATAAAATATAATTGATTGATATTCTACCTAAATATTGGAGAGTTATCAATAATTATTATTTACAAAGAATTTTATTTTATCATTTATAAGAGGAAAGTTATGATAAATTATAAATGGAAAGACTATCCTTGAAATCTGTCTTTATGTCAAAAACTTTAAAGGTATTTTTTAATTTGAAGATTTTTTTAATATTCTTCAATAAAAGATTGTTTTAAAAACTAATTTTATTTCTTACAAACAAAGGGGATTATAATTAAATTTCATAGAAAAAATTATTTTTATCCAAAATTACAAATAACGTATAATTAATTGATATCAATTTTGTGAGTGTTATGGGAGTGTTAATTTTTTTCCACACATAATTGACTCCTAAATTTGTTTTTGTTTTTGTAGATCAATATCATCTTTTTAATAAAGCTTTAAACTCGTTTTATTGTTTTATTAAAAAGATAAAATTTTTAAGTGATCAATCATATTTTAAAAAATATTGATAGTAATTTTTTATATTTTTCATAATTTATTTAAATATTTTACATCTAAAAATTGAGGTTTCGGATCAATACATTAGGATATTACTAATTATCATTTCTTAAGGATGTCTCGATGAATCAACAGAGGTAAACTTCAAATTCCATATATTATGTTTTAACGTACATGGGTAGTGGATGTGATTTTTCATCATTGAAATTGGGGTCATAAAAGTAATTGCAATTGCTTTTTAGCAATTTAACATGTTTTCAGTTCCTTTTCTTAATCCAAGAAAAGAACATAATTTTAAGGAAAATTGAATATATATACTCCTAGAAATTACTGTTAGTAGACAAAAAATGGACGTGGATTTTAAAACTTAATTTAGCATGGGTTAATATAATAATATTTACCTTCATTTTACTAAAAAAAAAAAATAATCACTATTAAAAAATGAGCTTTTAGCAAACACAGTTTGCAATGACTAAAAATATCATTATAAAATCTCATTATGACTTGCAACGATTTTTTATAGTTGTTTTTAATTTTTTTTTTATGTTTTATACAATGATATGCGAATTTTATTAAATTGGCAATGATAAAAAAAATTATTATGAAATCTTATTATATTTGTAACAAATTTTTATTGGTGTTGACTAATTAGCTTCTTAAATATTTTATGCGAGAAAATTTTTTTTACAATATCTCTGTTATATTTAAAATGACAAAAAAGTCATTTTGAAATATTATCAGATTTACAACGATATTTCACAGTCGTTGTAAAATTAAAAGTTGTTGCAAATCCCTATCACTTTCGCAACATTAAAAATGTTGTTTTTAAATTTTATCATATTTATAATAAATTTTCATCATCGTTTTCTAATTAATATATTTTTTAATGTTTTAACAATGACAAAATTTATAATTGCGAATTCTTAATATATTCACATCAATCAAAAATATCTTCACAAAATTATAATATATTTGCATTAACTTTTTATAATCATTGTTTAGTTAAACTTATTTTTTAATTTTTTATGTAACGAATATCTTTTCTTCGTTGCTATTTTATTAAAATTTATTTAATGTTTTATAGTTGTACAACAAAAGAATTTCAAAAATCTAATTATATTTGCAATAACTTTTTCAACACTTACTTTATTAGAATTTATTTAAATGTTTTATACTATAACAAAAAAAATTACAAAATAAAATTACAAATTTTACTATATTTGCATTAACTTTTTTGTAAATAGCTTTTCTTGTAACAATAAATTTTATCATTGTGAAATATTATCATATTTTACGTTCATTTCTTTCTTATATGAATCTTTTCTTCACTCTTTGTTAAAACAATGGATTTAAAAATTTTTCTTTCAATTATCTTAACCACCATGGCACGGCCTTTGGTCTAAAGACCATTTTAAATATAGTGAATCCTTTTTTAATTAATAAAAAATTATGATAAATATTTTTAATTACTCTTTTTTTTTAATCTATCTCATAGTCATTTTATTTTTTTAGTTTAAGTAAAATATTTATAATGTTTTAACTTAATTTTATTGTATACTTGAGTATTAGCTAGCTTCAAGTATAATTATAATATTTATATTACTCACAGGCAGTTAATAAAGGAGTTCAATTTTTTCTTAATTAGGTTTTGGTCATTATTTGAAGTGTTGCAAGAATAAAATTATAAATGCACCAAGTTCATGTGGAGCAGTACGTCCTTAAACTTGTTCAAAAGATATTAAGTATATAATTTAGAATACCTTTGATTTTATTATAAAACAAAAGGTATTTATTTAGTTTTTAAAATGTAACTTAACCATATTTAAAAAATAGAATCTAAATAATATAAGATTTAAATTATCAATTTTCAGATATTTAACTTTTTTTTGTCAAAATTCACATTAAATTTTCTTACAATTAGTAACGATAAAAATTTCGATTTTGTAAAAGCTTTTGGTAACAATTATTATTGTTATTAAAATAACTGTTGCAACGGTAAAGTAATTATTATTAAAGACAATTTACAAAGAAAAATATTGCTTTGTAAAAAATTAATAGGCAACCAAAATAATATTATCATGTAAAAGTTTTGATGACCAAATATGTTGCTGGTAACGATTATTTTGACAACCACATTAAGTTATTGCTTAAACATAATATTTTTGGACATGAAAAAAGTAGTTGCTATAAATATTTTTAGAATGATTTTGAATATAATAAAAATTATTGTGTATACTTTTAACAATGGACATTGACTGTACAACAAACATTTTTCGTTGCAAAAAAGTTTCAACAATAATAAATTGTTATTTTTTAACGACATTAAATGATGCTACAACTACTTGTTTTAGTAGTGGAAGTTGCTGCCCCAGTTTAAAATATGCATGCATCAAGCCAGTGGCTTGTGAGGAACAAGTGAGTCTTTTTCCATGGCTAAAAGAATTGAATAATAATTCTTTCCTCTTAATAAAAAGAAAAGAAAAGCACCTCATATGTAACTAAGACGAATATATATATTTTTCATACAAGTTTAGTTTGACAGTAAAACGGTTTAAGCTCAAAGATAGATTAATTATGTTCATAAGCTCACTTTTTTATTTAGTTATTCCAATTTTTATTCAAGTTTTTTTTTTTTTATAATTTTTTTATAAAAGAGGTCGTAACTTAAGTTTTATAGAAGATGATGCACATATTAAGATTTAAATCTTAATTATGTTAAATTTTATCTCTTAAAAATAATTGTATGAACCAATTAAAGTTAAACTTTGAATTTTATGTGCTTAATTTTATACTCATTCTAATAAATACGAAAAAAATTAGATATACACTCTAAATTCAGTTGTAGTATGTACCTTTGACAAGATAAAAAAAGAAATCAAATTTATTCTCGTTGTTAAAACGGAAACGAAAAAGTAGACAAAACATTAATGATGATGATGCGTATAGATTGTGTAGAAGAGAAGAGAAGAGAAGAGAAACTTATTTGACCTAATTTCTTAGATGTAAAATTGTAACACAATGCTGAGTATATGATCACGAAGATCGCAATTCTACTTGATGATGAAATCCTGGGAGATCTATTTTTCCTAACAAACTTGAGTATCAGAATGGAGTTAACATTAACAAACATTCAACCTCTTAAATTTGATGGGCAGAAACTTGTTAATCTTTTGAAGCGAAACAGTTAAAAGTTACTCTTCGCCCCTGGCCGTTCCTTAGTACCACATGAATTGCGTTGAACTTCACAGTTGCCTCAATTTTTTCTCTAACTTTCACCATCCACTTTTGCAGCTGAAACTGCGTGATCAACAAACAACTCAACCATGTAAAAAAATCTCCCTTGCTATATCAATGACCCTTTCCTTATACATGTTCTTTACACCTTGGCTTTAGGCTTTGTATAGTTTTAAATATAAAGTACAATAAGACACCGACTTAACCTTCTGATCAACACGCTTGCCATGAGAGGTTTGGTCATGAAAATGAAACATTTTTTCAAAGAGAATTCATTGCCTAATATTTCCAACCATGAATCTATTGGGGGCCTTTCTAGAGATGATCAAGAGATGGGCTCAAGTACAATGTCAGGAAATGGAGATATCTTGATCGAAAACTCTGGTTTTCACTACTTTCATGGAAAATATCTAAACCCTGTCCGAGCGGTAAGAACTTTGTGTTTACAATTTACAAATTGGCTTCAGCTCCCTTTTTGCTGTCCAATAGTTTAGTCTAGTCTAATTAATTTTACTTTAGTTGCTACTAATGACGTTTTATTTTTAATTCTCCAAACCCTGGAAGTAAGCCATTTTGTGATTGACTAGACACAATTCTGGCAGGATATTCCTACCCTGCCAGTTATACTAATAATTTACTTCAGCCTTCTTTAGAATTGTAATAAATCATAAAGCAAACCTGAACTCTACCAGACAATCAATTCTTGGGTGACAAAGCACTAGAGATGGTGATAACAAGAAAATTTGAAGGATCTTTCAGATTTCACGATTCATGAATTTAATTTTCCTTCCTGCCTTTACAAGGTTTCAAATTCTATTAATTCTGGGTTTTAGGTTTTCTAGCTTGCATCAAAACGCTGTATTAGTACCATTCAGAAATTGCATTTGCTTGAAACATATGCAGATTTTGGCTGAGATGCTGGGGACTTTTATCTTAATGTTTTGCATATGCGGGATCATAGCAAGCACTAAGCTAACTGGAGGTGGAGCAGCTCTGCTGGAGTATGCCATCACGGCTGGGTTAACAATTATAGTTCTGATTTTCTCCATAGGATCCATATCTGGTGCCCATGTTAACCCGGCAGTCACCATAGCTGTTGCAGCATTTGGCTATTTTCCGTGGTCCAGGGTGCTTTAATAATCCGTTGTCTACTAATGACGAGTTCACTAATTTATGTACCAAACATAAAATTCGTCCTTGTTTCTTTAACAGGTACCTCTTTATTTATTGGCACAAATTCTGGGTTCTGTTCTGGCAACATTTATGGGAGAGTTTATCTATGGCATAAAATCAGATGTTATGGTAACCCGGCCAGGCCAAGGCTGCCAAGCGGCTTTCTGGGTAGAGCTCATTGCCAATTTCATCATCGTGTTTGTGGTTGCAGCGGTGACACAACAATCACAATCTGTAAGGGAATTGCCATATTTTAGTTACCGAATGTATATATCATCCGCATGCTCCAGGCCTTCAGCGGATTAATATTCTAGGGATTTGGACATACCATAGTTTAATATCAATCAGAAAAAATACTTTGTTCTAGTATGTTTAATTATACAAACTGAAACAAATTGGAATCCATGACCCTGAATTTTGGCAGGTTGATCCATTGTCCGGACTGGTTATTGGAATGGCCATTGGGCTTGCGGTCCTTATCACAGGGTACATACTAACTCTTAAATTTTTGATTGGCCTAATGCTGAAATTAATCGACATTTATATATACTTTCTAAGACTTAAACTTTATCATATTCAATCTTCCTCTTATTTTCGAATGCAGGCCTATTTCAGGAGGATCACTCAACCCTGCAAGGTCTTTGGGACCTGCAATTGTTTCAAGGAATTTCGAAAGAATTTGGATATATCTCACGGCCCCAGTAATTGGAGCTGTTACAGGTGCTCTCATGTATGGATTTCTGCGTCTCCGGGGCCCAGCTTATAGTTCCAGCTCCTCTCGTGACAGCAATATGCTTAGCCAGTCCTTGGCCTATGGAAGAAGCTAGTGAAGAAGGCAGTCGATTCCCAAAAAGTTTGATTTAGTCACCGAGATTTATAAGCTACACAAAGAAGAAAAATCCTGGCGAGTTATTTTCTTTTGTAGGTACAAAGAAACCAGGAAGCAGTATTACACCGTGCGAATATGAGAAAGATTGAGTTTGTCTCAAAGAGTTTTTAGAACATGGATGTTAAATTTGCATTGTTATGATTTATTTATTCGTTCAATATATAATGCTGATTAGTAATTATAAACCTGGAACTAAGTGAAAAAGGAATACAATAAAAGAATATGGCTGCCATTGGTGCTAGGGTCAAATGGGTTTTAACTTACAACAAGTTTCAACGATTCTTTGCAACTTAGATGTCAATAATAATTGGCCAGGGAAATTAAACTTGGAACTTGGAATACTTCCCTTTCCTCAACTAGAACCAGAATGAAAGGAGCATAATATCAATGAACAAATCCATAATTAACTCATAAAATGTTCATGTCATTGATGAAAAAGATGCAAAGTGCAAATGCTAGGTCTACAATAAAATTTGTCCAATAGAAAATTAGAAGCTTAAAAAGATGAAAATGTAGGAAAAAAAAATTTGGCTTGACATCATAGGTTGGTCAAGATGGAGGAGGATAAAGTGGAAAGTGCTGTAAATGTTGCTTCATTGCAGTCCTCATTTGTCGAACTTTTTCAAGCATGTTATTTTGAGTGAGCTCCATGTTTTCAAACCTAGAATTCATATGTAGACTGTTCATTTGTGTCATGAGTATTTGTAAAGCTCCTTGAGTATCAAATTGTGGACTAGAAAGGTCTACTTGTGGAGCATCTTGAACCTTATGTTCTTGTCCTTGCTTAACTCTAATTTCATTCTTCTTAATCCACAAACTTGTATCGTTTTGAATGTATCCCATACTATGAAGTGTATGAACTCCAAGAATGCTACAAGCATCATGGGATACAATATCTCTATCACTTCTAATATTGATACCCAATCTCTTTAATAGATTGCTAATGGCTATCCTATAAACAAATGTGTAGTTCTTGTTTTGTATAACCCTCATCATTGAAAATGAAATACATTAGATTGAGTTTTTCTTCATCCTTGATCTTACACATCTACCAATAATCTTGTTTCCTACTAGAGTATTGGGTTCCAAAGGGTGCTAACACATGAGTAATTGATTAATCATCTACAACCCACAAAGTTAGCACAAGCAATATAATGATAAGTAGAGTATGTTCCCACAAAATTTGTATATATAAGTGTAACAAGTGCCAAAATTATCTCACTTATCTTATACTTAGAAAACCCAAAAATTATGCAGTTAAATAAACTAATATGCAAATGATGCAATATATGCAAATCAAAACCCTGAATAAACTATAAAGCATATAAAGAATTTAAATTAACTATATAATATGCTATAGAACAAAATAGAAATTGAACCAATATATGAAACCCTATAACTCAAAACCTTATTCTCATACAATTTCTTAAACACTAATATAAAAACACCAATATAAAAACCCCAAACCAATTTTTATTAAATCTTAGTTGTCAATTGAATAAAACCCTAAAACAGAAACTAATCAAAACAAATAACCATAAATCAATTCAAGAACATGTAAAAGATTAGGCAAGAAACAAGATTTAAACCCTAAAGCATGCAACCCTAAACAAATTAAGCAAGAACCAAATTCAATAAAACATTAAACCAATGAACCAAATTTTAAAAACAAGATTAAAGATTGCAAATGAATCAATTAAACACCAAATCAAACCAACCAAATCAATTAAACAAGATTAAAGATCAAATTGCAAACTTTAAACACCAAGAACCATAAACCAAAACCAAATAGCAAGTCTTTAACCACTAAGAATAAAAATTGAAGCAAGAAAGCTTTTAAAAACTAAATTAGATTGCTTGAAAACTTAAAAAGAATGTGATTAAACAAATCTTAAAAACCAAAACATTAAAAGAACAATAAATTTGTAAAATAGAATCTTGAGAACTAAAGAAAGCTTAAAACAAGAAAGCTAATAAAAACTTAAGAAATCTTATGAATTTGGTCTATCACCCCAACTCCTTACACCTTGTTCCTAAAACTTAATGATGTATTTATAGACCTCTAATAGCCATAGAGAGTTCGGCCAAAAGGGAAGTCTAAAAAAGACATCTCCTAATTTCGGTTGGATTTGGTTTCTTCAATTAAACTTCAACAAAGACTTTTAAAAGAAAGCTTCTAGATCTTTACCATACCATAACTCATTTTGTTTCAAGTTTTCCCTACCATAAACATGCAATGGCTGAACCTTAATATAGTCTCAAGCATGCCTTTAGCCAACTTTAATTAATCAAGTTGCCTTGTTTTTGCATCAATCTTGATCATCCATGTAATCTATAGCTTAAACGAATTTCTTGCATGAAAATAAAATTTTATTTCATGTAGAACTTTGCATTGACGCCCCTAAAATAATGGAATTAAATACTTAATGCAATCTTACTCTAAGTAGGAATAAGAATTAGAACTACCACCTTATCATGCCACATCATCTTTTTTTAACCATTAGGAAAACATTTAAATGCCATGTCATCCCATTGTAATCCCATGATTGTGCACCTACGCAAGCTACCATGGATTTACAATCATGTGAAATTACAAATTTTGCCTTTATTTTTTGCTGAAATTCCAACTTGAGTTCTTGCATGAATTTTCCTATGCTTTCTTCAAGATTCATCTTTTCATCTTGATTAGACTCCATAAAGCCAATCTTGAACATCCTTCCAAAATTTTCTTTTCAAGATTTTCAAGAAAATCAAGATTTAAGAAGAACATCTCAACTATCCAAAATATGATCCAGAATCATAAAAAAACTTTAAAAATCTTCAAGAATTATCAAGAATCATTCTTTTCTCCAAGTAAAACCTACAAAACAAAAACTTCAACTATTTAGGAGTAAAAAGATCATTATTTTACTAAGAATCAAGTAAAAATCACCCTTTAAAACATTAGAAATAACTCTATAAAATAGAGTCATCAGTAACTATGAGATAAAACAACCTATCATGCATAAACAACCTATAAGCTTGAGATGGTGTAATCCTCGAATTATCATCCGCAAATATATCTTGAATTATCATCCGCAAATATATCTTATGCCAATCCAACCATATTGCACCTAGTGTTTCTATCCCTTTCATCTTTTCCCATAAACGCCTTAGCCAATAATTACTTATTTACTATAATTTCTCTACCCTTCACATATGTTCTAAACATATCTCTATAATATCTATTTCTATCTCCATCAGCCTCAATATAATTTGCATTTCTATAGAACATCTTAATTAAATTCTCAAAAACTATTCCTTCCAAACTAAAATAGTTTATCTAATCAAATTCCTTAAAGGTATGCAAATATGGAAATTTAATAGATTAAAAGAATTCAAGATTTATTACCCTTCTTTGCTTGACATTTCTATATGTAAAATGGGTTTTATATCTCTTGTTTGTTGTAGGATTTTCAAAATTTTGGTTGAAGGAAGGCTTGATGGATGAACTAAAAGCTTTCCTTGGTGGATTTTTCCATGTGGCGAGTGGAGGTCTATTTAGAGAGCCATTAAGGAACTTAAAAATTTAAAAGAGAGAAAATAGATAGGATTTTATGAAATTGATGGAGGACCTGGTGAACATGGGTAATAGGAAAGATTATATGTTTGAGAGAGGCGAATATGATAAGTGAAAGACAGGTTTTAAGTGGTGGCACAAAAGGGGATCAAATTTTTAAGAAAGAAACCAGAGAGAGATGATTTTTGAGTGGGTTGTAAAAATTTTAAGGAAGAAACTTACAAAGAAATCAAGTAGGAAAGACAAATTTTACAAGAAATTTTGGATGAAAATGGTGATTTTAGATTGAATTTGTGGCTTGATAAACTACGATTTATGAGGAAATGTGGGGAAGAAGATAAGAGGAAAAGGGACGGTTGGGTTTTAATGAAAAAAGGAAACAATTTTGGATTTCAAAATGATACATATCATGATGCTAGCCATAATTGATCGATCAGGTCCCCTAGGGTATCGATCATTTTTGGTTTTCTAGAATCAATTTCACTACCAGTTGAAAAACCAATTGATCAGTCCTTAATAGGATTGAACAATTTCCATGTAACACATTTTTTTGAATGATTTTTTGAAACTGGTTACTCCAAACATACATCAAATAATCACAACATGATCACAAAAAAATTTCATCAACATGTTAAATAATAATATTTACAATAATCAAGAATTGCAATTTAAAAAGCATTCATCAATCGAAGTTCACCTCTAATTGTGCAAAATTTATCTTTATTGAGAGGCTTTGTAAATATGTCAAGTAATTGATATAAGGTATCAACATATTCAAGCATAATATCACTTTTTTGAACATGATCTCTAATGAAATAATGTTTAATTTCAATATGCTTAGTTCTTTAATGTTGAATTAGATTTTTAGTGAGATTTATAGCACTGGTATTATCACATTTAACAGGAATATGATTCATGGTAATTTCAAAATCCTTTAATAGTTGTTTAATCCACAAAACTTGAACACAAGTATCAGCTGCTATATATTCAACTTTAGTTGTGGATTGAGCAATATTATTTTGTTTCTTGAAAAATCATGATATGAGTATATTCTCAAACATTTGACAAGTACTGAAGGTGCTTTTTCTATCATTTTACAACCACCAAAATCTACATTAGAATATGTGTGCAAAGCAAAAGAAAATCATTTTGGATACCACAAGGCTAGATTAGCAGTGTCCTTAAGGTATCTAAAGATGGATTTAATAATAATTAAATGTAATTCTCTAGATGATGATTGAAATCTAGCACATAAGCATACACTAAACATTATATTCGATCTACTTGTAGTAAAATATAGCAATAAACCAATCATAAACCTATATAATTTATAATCAACATATTTACCTCTTTCATCCTTGTCAAGCTTTGTTGAAGTG